TAGAGGCAAGGGGGATCAGGTTGGCCTGGGCTACATGAGTCTGTCTCAAAAACAAAGCCACTAAACAAACACACAGGCAGTAAAAATCTGACTTCAACGGCATCAACCAGGCCCCAGGGGCTTGGGAGCCACATGTGACTGATCTGACACAGGGAGAGGTTGTCCCAGCATACCAGAAAGTTCTGTTGGACAGCACTGTCCCGTTCCTCCCCCACAAAGCCACCCCATCCCTTTACATTCTCTGTAGGGACAACACCCGTGTGACGTCATAAGCACTGGTGCATGGCTACCTCTCTCTGTCTTTGTAAATGAACTGGTATTTCTAGGTCAGCAAAAATGTCTTTTTTTTTTTTCTTAAAGCCAGGGTCTCACTGTGTAGTCCAGGTTGGCCTTGGACTCAGAGATCCACCTGCCTCTGCCTTAGGAGTGCTGGTTTTAAAGGTGTGCACTACTGTGCACCCAAACCTTGAACTCTTGATCCCTCTGCCTCTGCCTCCTGGGTGCAGGATCACAGGCCTGAGTCGCCATGTCTGGTGCTTCTGGAGTTACTCAATGAGGTCGTTTTCCTCTCACGCTTTCTGACTCCTTTGTTCAGGAGGCCACAGATTTGCTATGGCATAGACATCCTAAGTCAGTCATCCTCCAGCGTCAGGGCTTTAGACGAAAAGACGCTCGTCATTATAGGGATGCTGACGTTTGAAGGTGCGGCTGTGGGCTCTACACAGGATCTCAGACCCCGAGCAAGCGAGAGGCAGTCTGAACTATGTGCACAAGATGACGTCCTCACTGTCATTGCTGACTGCCGAATCCAGGGGAGGGATGTACATATTCTCTCTCTCTCTCACATCTTCTCTTTTGATCAGGGTCTCAGTACGAAGCTAAGAATGACCTGGAAAAGAGCAAACCTCCCGGCTCAGCCTTCCAAGGGCTGTGATTACAAGTCATAGCCACGGAGAGGAACAAGAAAAGCCGAGAGCCAGACAAAGCAGCTCGACCTTTATGGAGTCATTCATCAGACTTCTTCTGCTGTGGTTCAGACCCCAGAGGCACAGTGCCCCATCCCCATCAGCACATCTCAATGGTCTCATCTTCAGGAGGTCCTGAAGATGACTTCCTTCCCCTAGGTTCACAGATCATGCCCCACAGGGAGCCAGAGGGGTCCTTCACAGGTTCTGTTCCATCTCCTGGTCCCCACGACAGCCAGTCTCTATGATGATGGCCAGCAAAGCTGTGATGTGGCCTCACACAGCTCTGCAGAGGCAAGGCCATTGCTTGGCCGTTTCTCTGCTTGCTAGAGACCCGTACTATTTGGTACAGGCTTCTGTACTTATGTCACCCCCCACTGTACCCTATGACATTCAGGTCCCCAGCATTGATCCCTGTTCCCACAGTGTCTTCCCAGAGTCTGACACGATGATTTTATCCACGCATTGTGTGTCTCTAGGATTTGAACCATAGTTAAAAAGTTTGGTGAGCTAACTACACGAAGGCCGAGTGCCTTTTCCCCATCTCTTGGGCATCTGTACTCCTCTTAGTGGCGCACTCATATCCTGTGAGTGTGTTATATACCCACACCCACAGCACCAGCCTCGCGATAGCAAATCACTACACCCAGATGGACCCAAAAGATAAGTCGCTCCTGCAGTTCCAGGACTTGCCACGTGGTGGCAGCAGACACACAGGCAAGTTTCACAGAGGGCGGTTATGCTGAGGCTGCCAGGCTGGTATTGAAGACTGCAGAGCGCAGTCGAGGGGGGGGGGGGGGAACGGGAGGGGGGGAAACTGAGGCCTCAGAGAGAAGACCTAGTGGTTTCTTTCTTTGCTTGTTTTTCTTGGTTGGGAGTGAAACCCAGGCCCTGGTACGTGTGGGGAGAGTGTTCTAACCTAGTGAGGCTCAGATGTGGGGCAGGGGCGCTGGCCAGCACCAGCTTTGTGGGAGAAGTCATGAGTGAGGCCAGTTTCCATACCTCCGCTGTGTGACGTCTTCATGGCTGCCACCATCAAGGCCTGCGTGGGGCTGTATGGAGGTGTGAGTCACCTGTTGGAGAGGGCCAAAGGGGCCCAGACATAGGACATTCCGCATCCCCATGCTATATGCCAGGGCCACAGAAATGGCCAGGGAACCATTGTAAGGAGGGTCCCCATAGGAACAAAAGGGGTTCCCTGACCTCTTTCACTAGAGACCCACCTGCTATCCCACCTGTACTGAGTCACAGCTGCTGCCTGCAGGCTGGGGGAGGGGGTCTCAGCTTCAGTCTTCCCTCCTGCAGATACCTAAGAGTCTGGGGGCAGCAGAGGGCCTACAGCCCACGCTGGAAATGCCCATCGCCTTGGCAACCACCATGACCACAGTCACCACACCAGTTCAGGGCTCCAGGTTTAAAAGAACCATGGTGTGACATTTGCTTTTCTGTGTTAGGAACGAATTCACTTAAAGAGGCAGCTGGGCCTGTCATCCCAGCTACTCTGGAGGGTGAAGGAGAAGGATCCCAATTTGAGGTCAGCCTGGGCGACTTATCAAGACCCTGTCTCAGAAGGAAAAGTAAAAAGAGGGCTGGGTGTAGCTCACTGGCAGAGCGTGTGCAAGACCCAAGCTTCCAACTCCAGCACCGTGATGAGAACATAACAAACTCCCAAGCACACCACGATGTCAGGCTAGCCCATTTCTACGTTGATCTGGCCACATCGGGGACCTCTGTAGCCCAGGTTCCTCCAAACATGAGGGTGGGACAGGGAGAGGGGAGGAGCTGGCCCTGGATGGGGAAGGCCAGCTATGCCAGCTGCTCAGTCCTGGTGGGGCCTCGGGACCCTGGGGAAGGGCTGGCAGAGATGGTGAGGCAGAGGCACCACCTGCTGAGCCAGGAACCTGGGGAAACAAGGGCACGCTCCTCAGGCCTCCCTGTGGGACACTTAGGTCGGCATTGGGTGGGTGAGCTCCAGCAGGGAGGCTGCTGAGAGGCCAGCTGGCCCAATCTGGAGGCCAGCGAGCCAAGCTCTTTGATGAGGTGGAGTGTGGCCTCTGGGGCCTGAATCACCCTTGAGTCCCTGTGTGACCCGAGTCACCTTTCTCTAGACCTCAGTTTACTGGTAGGACTTTACCCCAAGGGGAGACTTTCTCCACCACCACTGCTTTCCCACCATGACCTTGAGCCAGCACCTCGCTCGGCTGAGCCTGTGTCCTTACCTGTAAAGCAGAGAGCAGGGCCCACCTGCAAATGACCAGGAGGAGGAAATGAGTGTGAAACACGGCAGCACAGAGAGGGTGGAGGACCAGCTACGGACACATAGCAGATGTCTGCATTACTGTATTAGCCTCCCCAGGGCTTGCTGCATCTCCCCAGAACCCAGAAATGCTAGGCGGGAAGCTAAAGCTCGAAAAGGGGAGCCAGTTTGCCCGAGGCCACACCCAGCTGGAACAGTGGGCAAAAAGAGAGAAGTTGGGCCAGCGAGATGGCTCGGCGGTCTAAGGTACTTACTGCCAAGCCCAAAGACCTTAGTCCACTCCTCAGGATCCACGTGATGGAAGGAGAGATCTGACTGCCACAGCTCTCACCTTCATGTGCAAGTTGTGACACACATACACAGCAAATAAATAAATGTAATTAAAAAACTTCTACTCTGCCAAGGCCAGCCCTCCTGAAGGCCAGGCTGCGGGAAACTGAGGGAAAGTGGCGGAGAGGCTGGGAGAAACTGTCACCAATAGTGGATAAGGGAGAGCCCTTCAGGGGAGCCTCAGTGTCCCACTTCACAGCCAGGCCTGGCTGGGTGGCCCTGGGGATGTCACCACGCCTCTCTGGGCCCTGATCCCTTCCTGGCCCAGAGGCTTCTGGGAAGGCAGGGAAGGCCAGAAAGCCGCAGGCAGGGCAAGTGTCTTATCCCTTCCCTCCCTCCCCCCCAACCCCCAAGGGCATAGGGAGATGTCATTTCTCCAGCTCTTGGGGGCGGAGGTCACCCCAGCTCAGCAGATAACGCTGAAGGTTGAGCAACGCCCCATCAGCCTGCTGAGGCCAGGGCTGGGGTCAATGGGTCGGGGGTCAGCCCAAGGCAGGTTGGCAGCTCCTGCCTGAGTGGCCCTGCTGGGAGTGGCACTGCCCTGGGCTGCTTAGAAAGGCTCCCACCAAGGTTGGTGGTCGAAGCCTGGGGACAGTTCGAATGAACAGAGGGCTGCTTTCCCAGCCTGCAGGGTGAGCGCTGGCTTCTCAAGGTTGGAGTTGGGGCTAGCTCCCACCCCAACCACCTGAGAAGCCTGCAGCCTCTGCGCAGGGCTGCGCACAGGTCTTCGAAATGCAACCGTGTCCCTGGTACTCTATTAGGAGGTCCATTTCTCTCTGACACCGGGAATGCTTTTAACAATATCAACAGCTTCCACGGAGGCAGTGCAGAGAGGCGAAGTGACTCACCCACAGACACACAGTGTGGCAGAACCCCCACCCCTGCCACCTTCGCGGAGAAGCGCGGGGAGTGGCGTAGGCAGTTGCGGAGGGCGAGCCAGGCATGGGGAGGAAGATTTGGCTCTGGGGGCAGCAGGCATGGGGGGGGGGCGTGCACCCGGTGGAGAGCTGTGCTTCCCAGGAATCGGGGGCCGAGAGAGGTGGGCAGCACCTGGGTGGGTGGGGTAGACATGTACCGGGAGGAAGACTGCTCCCTGGGAGTTGGGGGCCGGGGACAGCGGGCAGGATCCGGGGCTTGGGGTCGTGCACCGGCTGGAACGCTCTGCTTCCCAGGAGGGGGGGGGGGGTGGGGGCCGGGACAGCGGACCGGCGCGGGGACTAGCCACCGCGTCCTCCAGCAGAGGGCGGGCGGCGGCCGCGCTCCTCAGAGTTGCCGAGGGGCGGGAAGGGGGCGGGCCGGCGTCTCCCGCGTCCGTGGCGATCGCGGGGCTGGCGGGGCGCCCGGGACACCGCTCAGTGTCCCCGCGCGTAGACCCCCGCCGCGCCCCGCTCCCCGCCGCGCCCTCTCGCGCTCCCGCGGCCAGGCAATGACGCGCACCGTCCGGGCGGCGGGAGGGGCCGGGGCGGCCCCGGCGTGACGCAGCCTTGTTGCCAGGCGCCGCCTTATAAACCTCCCTCTCGGCCGCCGCCGAGCCGAGTCCGAGCCGCGCACGGGACCGGGACGCAGCGGAGCCCGCGGGCCCCGCGTTCATGCACCGCCTGCTGGCCTGGGACGCAGCATGCCTCCCGCCGCCGCCCGCCGCCTTTAGACCCATGGAAGTGGCCAACTTCTACTACGAGCCCGACTGCCTGGCCTACGGGGCCAAGGCGGCCCGCGCCGCGCCGCGCGCCCCCGCCGCCGAACCGGCCATCGGCGAGCACGAGCGCGCCATTGACTTCAGCCCCTACCTGGAGCCGCTCGCGCCCGCCGCGGACTTCGCCGCGCCCGCGCCCGCGCCCGCGCACCACGACTTCCTTTCCGACCTCTTCGCCGACGACTACGGCGCCAAGCCGGCCAAGAAGCCGGCCGACTACAGTTACGTGAGCCTCGGGCGCGCGGGCGCCAAGGCCGCGCCGCCTGCCTGCTTCCCGCCGCCGCCTCCCGCCGCGCTCAAGGCGGAGCCGGGCTTCGAACCCGCGGACTGTAAGCGCGCGGACGACGCGCCCGCCATGGCGGCCGGGTTCCCGTTCGCCCTGCGCGCCTACCTGGGCTACCAGGCGACGCCGAGCGGCAGCAGCGGCAGCCTGTCCACGTCGTCGTCGTCCAGCCCGCCCGGCACACCGAGCCCCGCCGACGCCAAGGCCGCGCCCGCAGCCTGCTTCGCGGGGCCGCCGGCCGCGCCCGCCAAGGCCAAGGCCAAGAAGGCGGTGGACAAGCTTAGCGACGAGTACAAGATGCGGCGCGAGCGCAACAACATCGCGGTGCGCAAGAGCCGCGACAAGGCTAAGATGCGCAACCTGGAGACGCAGCACAAGGTGCTGGAGCTGACGGCCGAGAACGAGCGGCTGCAGAAGAAGGTGGAGCAGCTGTCGCGAGAGCTCAGCACCCTGCGGAACTTGTTCAAGCAGCTGCCCGAGCCGCTGCTGGCCTCGGCGACTCACTGCTAGCGCGCCGGGGGGTGCCGTGGGGGGCGCCGCTGCGGCCACCGTGGGCTCCGTGCGCTCTGCCCCGCGCGCGCCTGCCCCGCGCGCACCGAGGGCCCCGTGCGTGCCTCGCGCGCACCTGCACCTGCACCGAGGGGACACCGTGGGCACCGCGCGCACGCACCTGCACCGCGCACCCGGTTTCAGGACTTGATGCAATCCGGATCAAACGTGGCTGAGCGCGTGTGGACACGGGACTGACGCAACACACGTGTAACTGTCAGCCGGGCCCTGAGTAATCACTTAAAGATGTTCCTGCGGGGTTGTTGCTGTTGATGTTTTTGGTTTTTTCGTTTTCGTTTTTTCTTTTTGGTCTTATTATTTTTTTGTATTATAAAAAAGTTCTATTTCTATGAGAAAAGAGGCGTATGTATATTTTGAGAACCTTTTCCGTTTCGAGCATTAAAGTGAAGACATTTTAATAAACTTTTTTTGGAGAATGTTTAAAAGCCTTTTGGGGGCAGTAGTTGGCTTTTGAAAAAAATTTTTTCTTCCCTTCTGACTTTGGATTTATGCGAGATTTTGTTTTTGTGTTTCTGGTGTGTAGGGGGCTGCGGTTATTTTTGGGTTGTGTGTGGTGGTGGGTGGGGGTGTCGCATCTGGGTTTTTCTCTTCCCCTGGCAGATGGGGTGCCAGCCCCTCCCCCCAGGAGGAGCAGAGTGCTGGGTCAGGAAATCAGGGTGACTCAGCACCCATGGGTGCTGGGGACCTTGCTAGAAACGCTGCTTGGGACGGGGTTGGTTCTGGGTGTCAGGCTTGTTTTGGGACCAGGCAGGCAGTGACTCTGTAGAAAGGGCTGGTCTAGACAGCCCCAGTCCGGGCAGGTGCTTTGGTAAGTACAGTGTACAGAGTACTCTGTGTGTGGTGGTGGGGAGGGGAGCCTGCATGTCTGTTTGGTTTGTATGTCCCCATGTAACTGGAAGAGAGGGTGAAGGGGACAGTTCCTACTCTGTGTTCCCTTCCCACCCAGATGGGACATGGAGCCTCCCTGGCCTGGCTCAAGGTGGCTGAGCCGAGACTTGAACTCAGATCCACCTCTCAGATTCGCTGGAGCAGCACCGATTTCCACAGCCGGCCTGCATTAGTGGGAGTTTGAGAGTGTCCAAGGAGTAGTGAATATGCCGTGTCCCGCCGTGCCTGGCACGCCAGAACTCTTACATAAGCATTTGTTCTTGTTATTATTTTTGATGGGAGGCTCCTGGCATTTGGCTGTGTGAGCGTGGAGCGCCTGCCCAGGGCTAGCGTCCTGCAAGCCCTGGAACTGCCCGTATCTCCTTCAAGCCTCATGGAAGGTGGGCACTCCTGTGCCCCTTGCTTTATGGATGTGGATGGCTGTGGTTGTTAGATTCCTATGAGCACCCAGCCCTGAGGAATTCTGGGTAGTGGGTAACGGCAGTTTGCCAGAGGCCTAGAGGAGTCTGGGGTCTTGGGAGTGACCAGTGACACTGTGGGTTGAGAATAGGGAATGCTTTGTCTTTCCCCTCTCTGGGAACCTGGAGTACTGGGCCTGGTGACCTGTGGTCTTCTGCTGTCACAGGGCTGATGGTGAGGCTTTCTCTGTCCCTCTAATCAAGGTGGCTGGAGGCCTATGCAGACCCTCAGACACTTACTTTCAGTCAGCTGCCTTCTAGGCTTATGTAGACAGACACTTGACCTGGTGGGCCCTGCAGCCAAGGTCAGTGCAGGCCATGGCCCAGTGTCCTGGTGGCTTTATCCACGCCAGGGGCTGTTGGTCAGCTCCATTGCTTCAGGATTTAACCACTCAGACCCAAAGCCTGGGCTGAACTAGTTCGGGGAGGCTCTACCTTTTCAGGAATGGAAAACTTTAACATACCTATGCAGACAGGCTGGCCTGGCATCCATTTCTTAGCATAAGTCACAGAAGTAGAAGGTAGAGGGGTACTACCTGCTGTCTCCAGGGTTGGTTTATAGTCCCTTTCCCTACCCCAGCCCCCCTGCCCTTAATGGAAGGCTCATTTCTCGGCCCCAAGATCAGGTACCCAACCCCAAGTGGCAGCACAGACTAGAATGCCCCCAGGAAGGGGGCGTGACCCAAGGCCCATCTGATGTCTCCCGGATTGGGAAAAGCAGTAAGTGGGTCAAAACTTTGCTATCTGTGTGGCCCAGTGTAGGAGCACAGTGGACAGGAGATGTCACTGATGAGGTGACATATCAGATCATCAGGCTGCCAGGGGTCAGGGATTGCCCAGAAGGAGGGACAAGCTGGACCAAAAGTCTAGGGACAGGACAACAAGACGGGGAGAGAGCAGCGGCTTGAAGGATAATTACGGTGGGGGGAGGACGGCTCACAGATGGAGTGTCTCTCCAGAACCTTGTCATTGGTGGGCTGCTGGGTCCTCCTGCTGCCAGGGCTGGCCAGCCATATTGCCCAGAGCCCCATGGAATGGTGGTGGTCACTGTTGAGACTTGCCTGAAGGTAAGGCGACCAGAGCCCTCCCAATGCCTGCTCAGGATGGGGGCGTTCACAAAATGTACTCTCATTGTCTAATGCAGCCAACCCACAACCTGGTGACTTTACCCAGGAGAGAAGTGGGTGACAGAAAGGGAAGGGGGAGGCTTGGGTACCGGCCCAGCGTAGATGTCCTGCTGGCTGATGTGATCGGCTCAGCCTTGGCTGGAGCTTCGGCTACAGGATTCTTCTGCCTGGTGAAGAGGCTCCGAAAGGGGAAGTGACTTGTCTAAGTTTGCACAGCTGGGAAGGGTAAGAGTTAGCGTGGGGACTGGAGTTGGGGGGACTGTCTCTTCCAGCCATCTGAGGAATGTTCCCCTCCCCCCATATCCAGTTCTGACTTGTTTGTTCCTCTCTTAGATATTTATTTGCCCTGTTACTTTTCGTGTATGTGACAATCATTTATTGAGCACCAGCTGTATGCCAGCTCCCATTGCGGGTGCTGGAGTTGGGTGGTTACAAAGAAGGAGGTGACAATTAACAGGCAGAGAAGGACACTTAAATACTCAGCCACTGGAACAAGATAATGACAGGTGGGAACAAAGACTCGGAAGGAGGAAAAGTGGGGCAGGAAAGGGTGGGGGGGAACCTTCTGAGAGGAGGTGTCTCTCCTGGGCTAGCCTGAGCTAAGCAGGGAGCCCAGGATACCATATGCTTCATTTATCCTCCATTTCCCATGAGACCAGTCCCTATCCACAGGGAAAGCCAGACACAGGCAGAGTCAAAGTCACAGTCACTGTCCCCGGAGCTGCTGAAGTGAAGATCTGACTCCTCGTGTGAGCCCAAAGGCCGCCACCCGCCCTACTGTGACCTTAGACCTTCTCCCTCCCTCCCTCACCCTATTCCTGACACGCAGACCCCAGTGGTGTCCCACTGACCACTCTTTCTTTGGGGTTCAGATGTTGCCTTTATAACAGGGCTTGTTTGGGGCAGTGAAGCACCTAGGCTGGGCACAGCAGGGCAGGCCGGGATGGGCCAAGAGCTGGTAACCAAGCCCTTCTTGTGTCCTCTGAGGCAGAAACCAGGAGCCCTATCTCCCAAGGCTCTTCACAGGATCCACAGGAATATTCTTAAAGAGCAGTGAAGCCTTTTTTTTTTTTCTTTTTTAAATCCAAGATTATGGGGTAATTTAGAGGCCCAGGATTTGAATGGGATTTAAACCAAGTCAGGAGTCTTGGTAAGTGGAGGGTACCTTTGCTGTCGATAAAAGATGAGCAGTGTGTACGTGTTAGAAACCACCCGCAAGGTTCTGTGCCAGAGGACCAGCGTTGAGGGAGCTGCATTTGAACCCAGGGCAATTGGCAGGTTCAGACCCCACTGGCACAGCCCTGCCGTGAGGCTGACGAGGAGTGTGCACAGCCTCTCAGGGCTAAGATGTGCAAACAGGACCCGTGATCCTGAGCTTTGTCTCCTGCTGGCTGGAGACATCAAGCAAGACATTTGACCTCTCTGTGCTTGGCCTTCACTGCGGACAAAGAGTCTATCTGGTCAGCCAGTGTCAAGCAAACAGACACTCACTCTGGGCCCCAAGGGAGGGGAGTTACATGCTAACAGAAACAGAATGTTGTGCGACGCCTGGTGGGCTGTCAGACACCTGTTACCCCAACACTCAGGAGGTAGAGGCAAGAAGGTCGGGAGTTCAAGATTATCCTTGGCTACATAAGAAGTTTGAGGCTAGCCCAGGCTACATAAGACCCTGTCTCAAGCTCCTCAACCCTCCAAAGGAAGCGGTAACAAACTGGTTCAGACAGCGATAACAGCCTTGAGCAAACAAGCCTGAGAAGTGGTTGAAGGCACCCGAGGGGGGCTCTCAGGGGGAGGTCAGCAGGTGCAAAGGCCCTGAAGCTAGAGGGGTGACAGCCGGCAAGGCCTAGAACCGCAGAGGAGAAGGGAGGGTGGTGGGTTCTTTCCGCAGGGCCTCTGAGGCCAGGTTGAGGCCAACAGGGACTGAGGATGACTGAGTGGGTGTCCCTGCCAGAGCCTGGCACCCACAAAGTCCTTGATAAGTCTGCTGACGAATGAAACAGGCCCCTCGGCCCTGGGGGCTAGGCAAAGGGCAGTGGGTGAAGGAGCAGAGCGCCTGCCCGCCTGCCTGCCCGCCTGCCTGACCCAGGAGACCTGAGGGATTCAAGCCTGTGACCCAGGGCCTGGAGCCATTTGAGCTGAGCCTTGTGCCAGGCAGGAAGAGGGGCCAGGCTGGCCAGGAGGGACTGGAGGAACAAAGGCTAGGAGGAGGAGGAGGAGGAGGAGGAGAAAGAGAGAGAGAGAGAGAGAGAGAGAGAGAGAGAGAGAGAGAGTTAGTTCTCTGGGAAGCAGTGGCTGTGGGACAGAGGGCAGAGACAAACAAGTCTGCAAGGCCGCAGAGGGAAGCCAGGCCTCCTGTTGTCTCAAGACTGGGGGACAGGCAGGAGACTGGACTTCCAAGAGGCATTTTGCTTTTATTTAATTTCGAGAGAATTACTAATGTGGAATACTAATAAAAGGAAGTCAGAAGCACCCATGGTTTTAATACCCAGAAACAAACCTGTTAAATATTGCTGTGTGGCCTTAGGTATGTTACTTTGCCTCTCTGTGCCTCCGATTCATTGCTTATTAAGTGGGATAATAATGACCTAGCTTCATAAGGATAAGGATGCAGTGAAGGCTGAGTTGGTTCACATACTATGTTTAACACGATCCTGTCCTGGTACAGGGTAGGGGTTAGCTGTTGTCCTTGTACGGTGCCGCAGAATCCACTGTGTTCTGGATGTGAATTGGGCAAGCAGTTCTCTTCCCTGGCTGTGACAAGAAGATAGCAACATTCTTGGGAGCGTTCTGGAAAGGTTTGACAGGTTAGTTCATGCAGAGACCTCTAGAATTTTCTTCCACGGGTTTCCATCCCATCCCCCTTTGTGGTAGCTACAGTTGCCAGTCCATGTACACACCTCCCCTTCTTCCTCAGCAGAGGGCTGCCCCGCTTCTGGGAACAGCCGCCTTATGGAGAGACTCCATTTTCCCAGCTTCTCTTGCAGCTAGGAATGAATGACCCGTGAGCCGCGCAGGAACTGTAGGAGGGGGCTGCCGGACGTCTCTTCAGGACTCAGCTGCAAGGCACATGTTCTTGATTTCCACGTTCTGCCTGGCATTCAGACGTGATGGTTAAAGCAGCAAAGGCCATCTTGAACCCGGAGCTGACCCTTCAAACCCAAAAGACAAAGGCGCCTGAGTCCTGGAGGTGGTGGAGGAGCCACACGGGTCCTTGCTGGGCTTGCTCTGTGCTTGTTTACATGGAGAAAAGCACTGTTCATTGAGACCTTTGTCATTTGGTTTCCTGTTACTGGCAGCTGAATTCATTTCTGATACATTTGCCCAAATGGCACAGAGCTGACTGGGTCTCTTTGTCACCTGTGTTTCTTAGTGGTGGCCTACTGCTTCCTTGTCTGGGCTGATCTGCTGCCACCATTGCCCTGAGTGCAGAAAAGGTCTCTGTTAGATCAGGTGAAAGGGTTGATTAATGCATTTGAATTACAGAAGTCATGTGTGAAGGCGCCTAGTGGCTCCAGGTGACTCTGGAGTCTCAGTGTGCTTCAGGTAGGGCTTGACCTGGGCCCTTGGTCTAGGGAGAAACTTCCCCACTGGCTTCAGTAGGCTTCAGACCCTGCTTTCTCTCCTGAGTCCAGAAAGGGGGCCCCGAGTGTCAGAGAGGCCCAGGCCCTGTTGTGGGGAATAGAACATGTTGTCAACTGCGTAGGGCCCAGATGTCACCCAGAATGACCTCTCTGCTCCGAGCCCCAGCCACCAGCACCTGCTGCCTGGAGGTGCCAGTCTACTAGGGCTGGAAGGCACCTTCGCCAGCCGCCAGGGCCAGCCCTGCTGAGATCACTGAGAGGCAAGTCAGGAGGCCAGGGAGCTGGCCGGGTAGGTTATTATTTTTATAGCTGTCACCAGATCTCTGGCCCAGCCTTGCAACCCTGGCAGGGACAGAGGGAGCCAGGGAGGAGGAAGACTCCTCAGAGGCTTGGTAGCCAGGGGAGGGGCTGTGGAGGAGAGAGCACTGGGGTGGGTCAGGGCCTGCTGGGCCCCAGCCTCTCCTGCTCCATGGGGTGGTTGACTGATGAACAGAGCAATATTTCTGGCCTTGTCCCTGACCCCAGGTATATGCCCGAGGTGGTCACAGACCTGAGTCTCTCTTGAGTTCCCTTACACCTACCCCAAGGCCATGTCCCCTTGTTTTATAGCCTCATCCTGTCTGGCCCATGTGGCTATCTCCTGCTGTGTGCCCTCTTCCTAATGTCCACACCTGCAAAGGTACCCACCTTCTTTCCCAGGCTGCAGCCCTGAGAAGTCCCTCGCCACACCTAGGTTATCAGTACCCCGATTCTGTGGTTGAGACAGTGTGTGACATAGCCTAGGCTGGCCTTGAAATTCTCATCCCCTGCGCCTCTCCTTCTTGAGTGCTGGGATTACAGACCTGCACTATGCCAAGTTTCAGGAGATGCCGGGGATTGAACCCCAGACCTCCTGCATGCTAGATGAGCACACTTTACCCGCTGAGCCATATCTCCAGCCTCAGTACCTTGATATCTGATAGCAAGAACTGGCTCACTTGGTTCTGTGAATTGTGTTCCAAGAATCCTATACAGTGGCCCCAGGTCCAGCCTGACATTTCCCCGGGTGGCAGCGTGTGGCTCACTAGTGCCTTTTATTGCTGAGTGGTGCAAATACGTGGTTGCTCCCTAATTCAATGTCTTGGGGACACATGGGTTCCTCTCTGTGCTCTTTCGGGGTGGCTGAGGTGAACTCTTTGCAGACAGCTCTTTAAGTGGTTCAGAGTGTGGCCTTCAGGGTCACATCCTTGGGAAACATAGGGAATGACGGCTGTGTTTGAATTTCTGCTCGTGGTAACAACACCATGAGTGAGTGTGTGTGTGTGCATTAAAAAAAACATTTTTCCTTTTGAAAAAGATGTAAGATTTATAGGAAAATGACAAACTCTAAATGACATACTCTGAACGGAGAATGAATCTCTGAGTTGTCATCAATCCTTCACGATTTGCTTATTTTTAAACTTCTTTTTTTTTTTATTTGTTTTCGACATAGTCTCCCTATGTAGCTCTGGCTGCCCTGGAACTCACTGTGTAGACCAGGCTAGACGTGGTGGCCTCATCTCCTCACTGACCTGTGCCTCAGCACGCCTGTGTAGCTGCGGCAGGTCGTGGGACTCGGGAAGGCTGTTTGTGGCTCACACTGTCACACGTGGTCCTCTCAGCGGCCCCGCAGGTCCATCTCCTTGCATGTGACCCAGGCTCCGAGTCTCTGCAGGACCCGAGGGCTGAGCTCGACTCTGTCCCAGTGCAGACGGTCACATTCTGGTCACCTGATCAGAGCAAGTCCTGCAGGGCTTCACTTTCGGTTTTGGTTTAGGGTTTTTGAGACCCGCCTGCCCTAGACAAACAGCTGTGGCTGGCCTCAAACTCACAGTCAGTTCCCAGCTTCTGTCTCCAGAGCTCTGAACTCACTGACAGCCACCATAGGGGGTCAGAGAGTCAGATTTGTAATGTAGTGTCTCTTTCTTTGTACCTAATAGAGTTTTGAGGGGACGAGCTTTGAAACAATGTAAATATCTTGCATGGCCTCCAACTTTCAAGTGTTCATTTGCTTACTTACTAAATAACCTTTTTGTTACATTTGTTTTTAGTTATTATCTATTTATATGTGTGTGGAGGTCAGAGGGCAACTTGTAGGAGTTGCTTCTTACCTCCATGTGTGTCCAGACGATAGACTCAGGCCATCAAACTTGACAGCAAACACATTTACCCATTGACTCATCTTGCTGGCCTGTTCTTGCTTATCTGTCTATTAACGGGTTGTTGTTCATGTTTGTGTGTGTATGCCTGTGGTGTGCGTGTTCACCTGGGGTGTGTGTGCACGTGCACCTGTGGAGGCTGCAGGTGACAGTCAGCTGCCTTCCTCGGTTGCTCTGCATTGATAGGCGCTATTCAAAAACCTGGAGCTCAGGACTGGGTCTGGCTGTTGGGCCTGGGGTCGGCCTGTTCCCACCTCCGCAGCACTGGGGTTGCAAGCTCACTGTCACACGTGGCTTAATGTGGGTGCTGGAGCTCTGAACACAGGCCCTTAAGGTTGCAAGGCAAGCACCTCCCTCACGGAGCCATCCACCAGCCCCTTACTCATTCTTATCGCTGTGGAGTCATGGCTTTTTCATTCTCGAGGAGAGGGGGTGGCTCAAATCACCACCACCACCACTACCACCACCACCGTCATCATCATCATCATCTTAATTTATTAATATGCTAAACTTGTCTGGGATCCTGGAGCCTGGGCCCCTACCCCTCGTGTTCAGAGGACAGGGCTCAGGCTGCTCCCAGAGTCCTTCACTCTCAGCTCCCAAAGGCTGGGGTTCTCAGAGCTCTCAGAAGCCTCTGAAACCTTAGAAAACAATAGCCTTGGACCCGAAACGCCATCTTTGTAAGACAAAACCCTTCCTCAAGTCTTAGGTGGGCTGTACATTAGAACTGGCCCTTTTTCCTTTTGCTCACTGGGTCCAGGTGGAAAGGGGAATCCAGCAATGCTGGGGCCTGTCTGCCAACTCCTTATGTCTGGTATGTGTTGGGGTGCCATGGCCTTCACACAATGGCATTTGGAACTGGGTCACTTCCTTTTCTGGACTTCCTATGGGCAAAAAGTGTATAGTACCACTCTCCTTACTGTCACATCCTGGACTACACTGGCTTCTCCCTCCAGTGGAGTCTTGAATGCCTGGTGATCCTCCTGCCTCAGCATCCTTAGCACTGAGATTTCGGGGGCAAGCAACCACTCTTTGATTTCTTTTTGAGATAGTATCTCCCCATGCATGTAACTTGCTATCCTCCTGCCTCAGCCACTGAGGTGCTGGGCTAACAGCTATGCATCACCATGATAGGCTCCCTGATAAAAGTTGCCAGTTCTTACTTGGAGACAAAAAAAAAAAATCTCTGGTGCAGAGGGAGATTGAGTGTCCCTCAGTGATATGTGGGAAGCAGCTGCCTTCTCTAGCCTCTATCCCTGTCACTCAGTTAGGAGGTCAGGCGGAGATAGCACCAGCCTGCCTGCAACCACGTGGGATGAATTCCAAACTCCTTGTATCCCTGGCTCTTTCTGAGGTTGGCTGGGAATTCTGGGATATGGCTGGGGACAGGGGACAAGTCAGACATAGGGAGAGAACATTTCAAAATCAGGTTGGGCTGTCTCATTTAAGCCTTGAAATCACTCCGTGGGGTGGAATACTTTGCTGTCCTCATTCTCCAGCTAGGGGACAAATTACAGGTGTGTGCTACCTCACAGGACACTTAGGGACCTGGTGTCACCGCAGCTGTTACAGTGCAGAGGCACGGAGCCTAGCCCTCAGGGAATGTGGGGTGAACTCCAATCAGGGATCGCCCCACGGAACAGCTGGCTGGCATCCTCATTCATGCCGAGGTCATGAGAATTGAGGGGACACCGAGGAAGGAACCGCTTCAGACTGTGAGATCCCCACTGCCCAAACATGACTGAAGGGATTTATGTCACCCCAGACCAGACAACCAGACAAATGTCACAAGACCCATATGGGGACAATCGTGATGTTGAGATGAACTCAACTGTGTGTGTGAGCACACATGTATGAGTGTATGAGAGTGTACATATGTGTGTGTGTGTGTGTGTGTGTGTGTGCGTGTGTGCGTGATGAAGGTCAGAAGACATTGGATGGAGAACGATGTCATACTTACAACTCATTCTCCAATAATTCAGCTAAAAGAAAAAATTCAGCTAGGACAGTGGCTTAGCTGGGTCTGGTGGCATCTGGATTACAGGCACTCATGAGGCTGAGGCAGGAGGATGGCAGGCTCCAGGCCATCCTGGGCTACATGAAGATTTGAGAGTCTGTCTCAAAATGAAAGAAAAACGACAAAGAAAGAGGAGTCAAAGTGCAGGGAAGCTGTGGGAGGAACGGCCCGAGGAGACGGCCTGGAGCCTCACGATTCTTCCCATTTTCTGCATGGTCAAAATAATACCCCGAGAACGCCTGACCTCCAGTGCACCCAGGAGAAAGAAGACACTCGCCTGCAAAAGACCTGTGAGCTTCTCACGCACTTACAGCTCTCGTAGCCTCAACCCCACACCGAGGAACAGCCTAGATGCCTTCAGTCAGTGAAAGATGACCAACCTGTGCACCCATGGGCCAATGACAGCAAAATCACAGCTGAGCTTCAGATCTGAG